CCTTTGATTCTCACAAAATTTTGTCAATTGTTATCGGAAGTAAATGTATGTGAGAAAGACTCAGGTAACAACTATGGTTGATAGAATCTGTTTGCTAGGTTAGATAGAGACATCAGCTTTTGCGATAAACTGTGAACATCAACCAAATAACCGTAGTAGAGTAGTAGATAACTGTGTAATTTGTGTAGAAGTATTTTTACTTTTCAGTTTTGTTGTCAACTTACTCGGTGTTTTGATATTAGTGATTTTCGATATCATCTGTTTCAAGAGGTGTGATTTATATGCTACTAATTCGAGTGTAACATGTCTGGTAATTAGGTGTATTCATTTTCTCAGCGTCCGTTGCATTTGATTCCTTGACACTTTCCCCTTGATTTTCTTATTTGTATGTACTTTTCCGTTCTACTTACGGTTGATTTCTCTTATTTGGATGTAGTGAGTTAAAACTGATCCCTTATAATTGGTTAGATATGTATTGTTCAAATGCATTAGTGGAATGGAAGCTGGTTTTATTTGATTGGTGGATTTTGTGTGTGTGTGTGGGTAGCGGAATAGGGTGTCTGTTTCTGATTGGTTGATTTGCTTCAATTGACTTCTGATTTTTATACACATCACTGTCATTTCTATAAATGTTAGATAATGGTTAACTGATGGCGTTGTTTGGAATTGTTAAAGTAACATTTGTAAGAGGTATAGTTAACGCATATAAAGTCATCTCAATATTCGTGGGATAATACAAGTGGGCTGTAATAAAGACCAATAAAAACGCAGGTATTATTGGGAATTAAAAGGTATCATAGGTCCAAGTACTTTCAAGGTGATAATTTTGTGTAGACTCATTAAATGCTGCATTCAGTTTATGCTTATACCATCAACCAATATGCTGTGATTTACACTTAGTTACAAAGAAAAAAACATAACAGTACTTAACTAAGTATTGTTTTTCTATTGTTGCTACATATATACATATGATTGAGAACCAGGGATTACTGGACAGTTGTTTTATCCCATTTTGATAGTCTTCATCAGCTCGCACCCATGACCCTCAAGTTACGAGGTAAGCTCGTTGGTCATTCAGCTCTGTCATAGGCCTAAATCCTATAGCCCATAAAGTCTAACTTCTATCACTTGTCTAATTTTAGCACCACAACCAGCCACTGTCATCGGTAAATATTTTACATCACACCCCCAAACCCCTTGGTCACTACACTAGTGAGCATCAAATCGATTTTGAAGTTGTCAGTTTATAGGCTTCTGATTAGCTTCCAGTTTGATCATGGACTGACATCATTTGCAGAACAGTATTCGATATAACTGTTTCGTCCTAGTTTGGGAATCTTCAGTAATAAACACCCAGGGAATTGAACACATGACCTTCAGGTTATCAGGCGAGTTCATTGACGATTCCTTCACTGAGACGAAAAACCAATACCTCATGAATTGTAACTTATGCCATGGGTGCGTACTGTTGAAGAGCCCAAACTAGGTGGAAAACAGTTGTCCGGTACCCCCTTGTTTTCATTGGTTCTGTAATTGATATCAATCAGTGACGGAACTTGTAACGGTTTAAGTCTCTCGAAAACCAGCACTTATAAAGTTGTTACATATACATATTTGTTGTGCTTAACCCCGGTATAAATGTATTCAGTAAACCAAATAATTCATAATTTGTCCATTAGAATTCAGTACACTTGTGTATAACTTGAATTTTTGTAAAATTCACTAGAGAGAGAGAGAGTTAGTGATTAGGTAGCAAAATAACTGATTATTGTCTATATAAAAAGGCAAGTGTAAACCGTTGTCTATTCAATTCAATAATTAAGCTATACGACGTATACAAGGTGTATACACAGCCACAACCACAAGAACAACATACTCGGTCATTATTCGGGTGCGTGATTATTCATGTGTAGACTTTTGTGAAAAATAAGAGAACGAATATAATTGAAATTTCTAATGATAAATAGTTAGGTGTATCTATCTATTTATAATTTTCGTTGTTATTGTTATTCTAATTGTCGTTTAATTTGCATAAAATAGTTTTTTTTTAAGAAAACAGAGCTCTCTGTGTGTAAGTGTGTGTGAATTGCAATTGATATACACTCAGGGTGTTTCTCAAAACATATTTTTTGTTATGAAATCGTTCTTTGTTTTCATTTCTTCTAATTTTTCAAAAGAAATGATCTTTGTTCACTGTTTTAATGTCGTCCTCCTTTTCTCTCTCTCTCTCTCTCCTATAAAAAAATTACAAAAGATTAAATTACTGTATCTGATATAAATAAGAAGTTAAGGAGACATGTTCAGAGTAGTCTTTTGAGACTAAAGTATACACATTGTGATGAATTTAAGAAATATGAGGTTAGTTATTCAGTTAATTAACTAGAACTCAGTTACTTAGAAAAGGCTTTCAATGTGCCATGTTATGAGCAATACTTTGTGTGTGTTGGGGGGGGGTGGGAGGTGGGTGGGTGGCGCGGACTAATAATACTACCCAGCGGGTCTGAATTCGAACCTAAAGTCTATTAGCTGAAGGATAATAGGTATTGTAAGAACAGTTTGTTTCTGGTGACTAGCCGTTTTTATTTGTAATAGTTTGACCATTGTATAAGTGTGATCAAAGCGAGTTCTTGGATCAGTTAGCCTGAAAGGGATTCTTTAGGGTTTCTTTTTCTTATAGCCGTTACATGTCGTGGTAGATATTCATATACATTGCCTTTTCAGATTTCACAGGTCTCTTTATGTATGTATGGGAAGGGGGTGTTAATACAGTTGTCGAATGTAAGATAATGCTTCAGGTCTGGTCTTGACTTGACTCCCAGGTTAAAGATAGGTAGTGAAGCGTTTGAGTATGCAAACGGCTATACTGACATGGGAAGTTGCCTCAGCTCTAATGGACCGATTGTTGACGGAATCTCACTTCGATTACAAAATGCTTGTGTGGTATTTGTCAACTGATGTCATCTCTGGTATAGACGTGATATCTGGCTTTCGACCAGTTCACTATGTGTCCCTTTTTATGGTTGAAACGCGGTCATTGAAAATGGAAGATATGTAGAGGCTGTCTGATTTCTATCATAGGTGTTTGGATCCTATGATTCTGTGTCAAATGGTATAATACGGTGAGTAATATTGAGGTTTACAGTAGAATATTAGGTAAGGCAGGAAAATAAATCGATGAGGTTGTGAAGGTACAACGATTGAGGTGGCTACGTAGGACATGTGTTTCGCACACTGAGATGAGAAATGTTAGCTGACATAAGATTACGTTGGAAAAGGTTAGAGATAGCTAAACCAAAAACCTGAGATCAATTTGTGAACATTTTGCTGTCCGTTTGAGACACATAGGTGTCCTCGAGATGCTACGAATTAATGGCTGGAAACGTTTGGTAATGTAGCTGAAAATCATTCACAATGATCCGCAGATGCATTCACTTTTTATAATCTCTTATATTCATTAAATTCTGATGTTTTTAGATGTTGTCATTTATTCTCCCGTACATTTCTTCTCACTGCACTGATGCATTTCTGTGCAATGTTCTACGTTGAAATTCACTCAGTCAGTCGATATATTTAAAGGATTTAAAATAAAGTCAGAGTACATCAATGTATACACTCACGCACACTGGATACCGTATTGTAAATATGCGTGATTATGATTATGGTTTTATATTGGCACTCTGTGACAATAAAGACTTCCATTATTAGTTGGAGGATTTCATCATGAGTTGACATCAGTTAGAGAACCAACCAACTAATCAAACAAAACCCCTACAAAACCAATACTTGAAAATTAATCTTATGCTCACTAGCGACTGGCCTTTTTCAAGCAGTTAACCTGAGGTTCTGGTAGTAAGCCGTGACCAGTAGGGTACAGCAGGTTGAAGGTGAGTACAGTAATTCATCGAAGAAGATATTGCGAAGTGGTCGCGCTATGTCATGAATTGGCAGAAGTCAGAATTCATGCCCTGGCCATTGGATTGGGTCCCAGTGAGTGGCTTAATGGTCTACGAGCTCGCTAGCCTTGTAACGAGGAGACCTGGGTTTTAATCCTGGTGGTGTTTGAGAGCTGATGAAGAGACCCAAACTAGGCTAACGAAACAACTGTTGGTTTTCCAGTGGCTCTCTAACCGATGTCAGCTCAAGATGAAATCCTCCAACCAATCAAGCGAAAATCCCTTCACAACCAATACTTGAAAACTTCCATTATTAGTTTTATGAAAATTTCTTCTTCAGTTACCTCTTGCCTGTATGTAAGACACTTTGATTATTTGTCACCAATGTTCTGTTTTTTTTTTAATTATCCCGAATATCACTCACATTTCATACAAAAGGGGAAGTTGTTATTCAAGCCACACAGTTTAATTTATGGTAGAGAAGCTATAAATGATATCGTCTTCTCATTAGTATTTAAAAGTTGACAATCTTTGACATTAGACTCATTAACTGTAAAAGGTTACGGGATTTTTAAGTTTTTTTTATCTGCACACCACTAAAAGCTTCGACAATGGAATAAATCCTCATATCGGTGTGGAAAGCGTCCTCTGACTACGGCCAATGTACCTTGCTCCACAAGAACAGGTGAACTGATAGATGCACATGGCGGTGGCCAGACGGGGGAGCTTATTTTTTACAGAGGTAGAGAACAACTAGCGGCTAGTGAACGTCATAAGCTCCTCCATCTGGCCGCCTCCATGTGCATCTATCAGTTCACCTGCTCTTGTGGAACAAGGTACATTGGCTGTAGTCAGAGGACGCTTTCCACACAGATACGAGAACATATTCCAGTATGGCTTTACAAGGGAGAAAGTAAGTGTGTGCGAAGCTCTATTCTGGAACATCTGATCAACTTCTGTCACTATCAACCCTGACAATGGAATAAATTGAAAAAGAAAAGTGAAGCCTAATTCCTGTTCATTAGTTGTTATTATTATAGTGATAACTTGTAAAAACTTCTTAGTAGATTACATAACTAATAGCTGTTTGAAAATTGTATTTTTCAGTCCATTACAAGAAGTAATTCAATACCTGAATCTCGTCAGTCCATGAAGCATCATTCTTCAGGAAGTCATCAAAATAATCTTACCAGAGGCGGTAGTTTAAATGATCAGTAAGTTTACCACCTTTCCCTACATTTTAAAATATTTCCATTTTCTTTAATTTAGTTATATAATAATGTTGATAGGATATTTTGCATAGATGTTAGACATTCAAGCCGTTATTTAGGCGTATTTTATTGTGTTGTACTATGACAAGTGTTACGTAGGCGTAAACAAGTCGGCAAAATGAATGAATATGTGACAAAATGTCACGAAAACTAGTGAATTATTTTTGGGTGTGTTTAAATGTCTTAAGAATTTCTTATCCGTAGTTATAAATCTTTCGGTATACAGAGTTGCGGTCGATATTCATAAGTATTATTCTTATACTAATTGCGTCCTTCTAGTTCCCACGCTTACTGTCGTTATTAAACAAGATAGTGTTGTGGGGTACAATAACCTCAAAATGTGGAAGTTGACGAGTTTCTTTTTAAAGCAAACAAGCAGTTACAGTGGTGAGTGGATCTATGTTTCGTTGGTGTAGATCCTCCAACTTTTAACCCACATGTGACGAGTTTCTACGCCGCTCTGTCTATCAAAGTTACAGCTAGATTGTACCATGAGTTGATATGATTCATTGCTGAATGTATGAACATACAGTTGGTTGATGAATTTATACACCTTTTCGTCTATCTGATTGTATCTGATATTGATGATACGATTGTCTGAGATACTCTTGATGTGGCTGTCTGTTATCCATTTAATGGGTGACAGATGATAGAAAATAAAATGAAATTATTAGTCACTGCTTCGGTGGCCTCTGAATCACTACCTACTGGATCTCTTAGTTCAGTGCCAGTAGAGTTCTGATACGTTAACTCAACTTTGAAGAAGTGGTTAGATATTTTTTCTCCTCCTCTCGGACAACCCCCTTCTCCGCCATATTCTTATCTTATGAAATACAAATTGAGGATTTACGGAGCCATGTATTTAAATGTATATTCAACACAAAACAGCAAATTCATTCAAATCATTCTATGAAAATGCCTAGGTATATTAAGTGTGGAGGGGTGGGGTTACGTGGATTATCTACTAATACAAGAGACAATCGGAATAAATTTGAAGAGAGAGTGGAAGGAGGCAACTGATGTTACTGCGTGCCAGTTGTTGCTGTTGTCAATGGCCACCTGATGATCAGTAGACTACTCTGTAATTTTTTTACACTCATGGTATTGCAATGCGAGTATTCTCCTCTACTTTCTTTTTTTTCTATTCAGAGATCAGCTTGGATCTGAGCAGTCTTTTCATCCATCATCGACATCAACAACAAAAGGAGAAAAGGAAAAGAATAATTCTGTCAATCCACAACAACCGGTTACATCAGAATCTCTTGCTAAACAATCTGAATTAGAGGCTAAATTACAAGAAGTAGGTTGTTTGGTGAAGTTTTCTGCTTTTATGCCATTGTTATTATTTGTTATAAAACATAGTTGACGTCCCTTTTGTGTCATATTTGTATTTAATGCAGTCTCAGTGGCGTTTTTCATCTCCTGACAAGAAACAAACTTTTAACTCCATTATGGATAAGATTTTATTTTGATAAATCACAGTGTTATACAGTAATATTAACTGATGACGTTTCGAGTACAAATTATTGCTCATAATCAGATGGGAAATAAGACGAGTGTTTTTATAGTCATAATGAGTAACTTGTTAGTATGTTGGGATGTGTTTGAATTGAAATAGAATTTTAAGATTATTTATTATCCTCCCCTGATTTGACCGGCGGTAATAATATCTTCCATATTTCTGGTATTTGCATTGAGTCATTGGGTGTAGACTCAATGAACCAGGATTCAGTAATCAATCTCTCTCTCCACCTACATAGATTACTTCTTAGAATCTTAACCCTCTCCTACCCCATTGTGTGGTTGTGTGTTAATGCATGCAGTGCAAAAGCTGGGCTTTTTTCTAAATTACTTATCTTCTCGGGGTCAACCATTCTTACCTTAGCTAAATTCTTATGTTCCGACAATCTGATTACCCCCGATCTACTAGTTTGACCTATATAGTTGACCTCATAGTCATTGCAAGGTATTTTGTACATATTATGACTATAAAAACACTCGTCTTATTTCCCATCTGATTGTAATAGATCAATAACACTCATATTATTATTTATGAATCTACATTATCCCATATTGATTTTTATTCAAATATCTAGTCAATTCCACACGTATATAAATGAGGGAAAAAGTTGTGTGAATAACTTGATATGATGATTAAGAACAATAGTTTGTGCTCGAAACGTCATCAGTTAATATTACTGTACAACACTGTGTGATTTATCAAAATAAAATCTTATCAATAATGGAGTTATACTCTACCACAGTGCCCAAGTTTTATACTTATATCAATAAACAAACTTTTACACGTAAAGTTGCATCGGATGAGGTAGTCGGCCTAGGGTAGATATAAAACAGTCTGTTGTTTTAAAGGACTGACGAAATAAGGCATACTTTAATTGGATACTAGGCAGTAACTATTGACTTGCATCTAATCCTTGATGTTAGTGTGGGCTGAATTCTATCAGTCAAGTGTACAATGTGACCAGCGTGCTAGGTGACTCACCATCATGATGCTTTCTGAGTTGTTGTTGTTGTTGTTATTACATGGTTTGAGGGAATCGGCAGGAAGCCTTAGACCTAGGCTGTTTGCTAGTTGACACTCGTTAGCAAGGCGTATTTGCAATCGTGAAGGAACTCATGTCACTTCTGTGCTTCGAATCCGTACCACCCAAGTACTGCAGTCCGAATAGCTCAGTGGTATAACGTCTCTGTCAGAAACACTGGGTGACATGGGTTCCTTCAAGATTGTAGGTACGCCCTGCTGACGAGTGTTGACAAGCACAAATCCTAATCCTAAGGCTTCCTACCTATTGCCTCCAACCATCTAACGAGGTAATACGTAACTGGATAGATGATAGTACGTTGATAAGTGGATAGTTACATGTTGTTCATTCACATGACGATTGAGTATTATGTTTGTTGATAGGTGTGGGTAGCTCAGGTAGATGGTTTATAGAGCTATAGGACTATTAGTTCGGATGCAGATGTTATAAATCCTACTGCAACCCAAATCTTCGTTTTACCTTCAACCATCGCCTTTTATACAGTATAATAATGCGCTTATTTGCCAAAAAAAACACACCAATAATAGGAAAAATAAACTAAAAATCATTTTAATTTATTTGTCTAATTTATTTTACTGTTACAATTTAGTTTGTTTGACCTCGAAAAACAAAACAAAAAAAACAAGTCGTTTTTGAATAGATTTAATATCTACTTGAACGTGGTATTGAGTTTTTTTCAGTTAATGCTTTCCTAATCATTATGCTTAATCTACCCTATAGCAAATGAACACATGAACTTAATTTCGAGGAAATAAAGGAAAATTTGTACAACATTCATTCCATTCTTGTCCTTTAATTCTTCTTGAATTTTTTTGAGATCAAACCTTTTTGAATGTTTTTCTTTTTCCTTGAACCAGAGGTAATTAGCTAGTGTTCTTTACGCTTTGTTATTCTTCAAAGAATGAATAATTCAGTTGACCGAACTTTGATGATATGAAATAGGTTATGTCCCCCCGCCCTCCACCCTCCCCTTTATAATGGTTGTGAACTAGTCACAACTAGTAGTGAATCTGGAGTGCTTTGGTTTCCATTCCAGTGTGACTCAAATCCTCAGTTTCACTTTCAGTCATCACTCATTACATCGGTGGTTCAGTGGTAGAATTCTCGTCAGTCCCACACATGGTTCGCCGGAATCACTCTTAAGCCTTTCCTAGTGGACTAGCTGATAGTAGCGTCCGCGCAAAAGGGAAGATTGGGAGGGAGGCTACTGACCTCACCTCGTAAAAGCAAACACTACCGCTAGTGAAACTTAAAAAGCTCGAGGGCCTGTGTTCCAATTGGGATTGAAGACGTGAAAAAAATTCACACATGAAATCCTAATAAGTTAGCTTAGAGCTTCACTTGAAATTATCCTTAGCATACCTATAGGATTCGATGTGGTAACTGTTAATGCTTACCGTTAACTGCATTTCCATGCAGTTAACGGTAAGCATTAAAGTTTTCAAGAGTTAGTTTGTAGGCATTTGATCTATTTCAGGTTTGATCAAGAGCTAACATCACTTAGAGGACCATTGGAAGGTTAAGGAGTACTGGGCAACTGTTTCGTCCCAGTCTGGGCCTCTTCATCAGTTCGCAACCGCCAGGATTCGAACTCAGCACCTTTCGGTTACGTGGCGAGCTTGTTGATCATTCAGTCACTTGGGTTTGAATCCAACTGTCCATAAATTCGAACTTCTGCCATTCACGATATGTACAGCGCAACCTTCAGCCAATGCCATAGACGAGTAATTTTTCTCTTACCTAACTTGTTGTACCCTGTTGGTCACGATTCCCCACTAGAACACCAGTCAACCTCTTGTATAAAGGCAGCCGTCAGTGAGCACCAAGTCAGGTAGGCGGCATTGGCTGGTAGTCGCGTTAAAATCACTAATTGACGGAAGTTGGAGTCCTTTGACTGTTGACTTGGTCCCCTTCGGCTGGATGGTCTACGAGCCTTGTAACTGGAAGGTCCTGAATTTGAACCTTGGTGGGTACTTGCTGATGAGGAGTCCCAAATCAGCATGAAACAACTGTCCAGTACACCTTGGTTTCCTAATGGTTCTCTAATTGGATGTCAGTGTGTGATCGAACTTGAAGCATTTTAATGCTAAGTTGATGATTTCATCAGTCCTAAATTTATCAACATTTTGTATAGCTCACTGTAGACAAGAACATCTGTGTGAAATCAAGTTCTTTAGTAGTAGTAATAATAATAATATATAATAAGTATAGGTCTACATTCATATTTGATAAAAACCATTATTTTAATACCGCTCTTAAGTTATTACTTGATTATGTTGCTATAGTAACAATAAGAACCAATCAGATGTACTTGATTAATACGCTAAAACTAACCTATTTGTTTTACCAATATTATTATAATTATTAAAATTGTGATTATCAACCGTTACAATAATAATTGATAATAATAATTATTATTATCATTATAAATCTTAGTCAATTGCTACAGCTTTTGTATTTAACACAATGAAAAATTTATTTTCGCGTTTTATTCAACCAAGGAATAAATAAGATTGCGATCAAACTTCGTTTTGTACACATCTATCAAATCAAGTTCATTTTAAGTTCAATTTTTCTTTGTATATATATATATATATATTATATATATATATATAATATATATATATATATATATAACTACTATTCATTTCTCTTAGTTTTGTCTCATAATATAATACCTAATTAAGTATATGTTACACAATATAAAAGCATATTACTTATATAAACTGTAATAGTTATGTATATATATGTATTTATCTTTCGTCTACGTAAATATTGATTTCTTTTGGTTAGGTTTATTAATTTCAACAAAGGAAAATGTCGTTTATTCAATGAATAAATAAATAAATAATGCCTTAAAATAGGCCTTGGATGATTCATCCATTTGAGACCTGTCTGTTGTATAGTCAATGCAGACTAATTATAATTTTGTATCAATGTGGATGGATATATTTTCGTTTTTATCCGGTGTTACTTTTGTTTTCAATGCCTAGTCACACTTATTACCCTGGATATTAGATACTATTCTATCTGGTCTATATAGTATTATATTAACTACGTTGGTATTAGCTGGTTGGTGGCAATCGGCCACAGGAAGCCTTGAACCTAGATGTTTCGTACTATTTGGCACTCACCAGTCGTCAAGGCGTATCTGCAACCTTGAAGGAACTCATGTCCCTTGTGAGATTCGAATCCGCGTTACCCAGTGCTGCAGGCAGAGGTGTTCGAATCTCAGAAGGCACATGAGTTCCTTCAAGGTTGCAGATACGCCTTGCTAACTGACTGGTGAGTGCCAACTAGCACGAAGCCTAGGTTCAAGCAGGGCTTCCTGCCGATTGCCTCCAACCATCTAATACCAACAATTCACAGTGCACCGTGATGGCTAGCTACCTAGAATGGTTGCCACATTGTAAACTTGATTGATAGAACTCAGTTTGCACCAAACAAAGGACTAGACACATTACACTGATTACTATCTAGTATCCAATCAAAAGTATCTTTATTGATATTGAATTGATACAGTTGAATATTCTGAAGCAATGGAGGGGAAGTCTGGCTTTCATTCAGAGGGTCTTGATTTCGAGTCTTGTTCGGTCAACTTCTATTCGATGGGGGTGGGGGAGCTAAGTGACTGTTAGTTCTCAGCCCGATTATTGATAAATAAAAGTTTTAACTAGCTAAATGCAATCTTTTGGTGTATTTAAAAAAAAATAAACTAAGGGATAAATATTTCAAC